GCAGGAATGTTCAGAACCACTTCCATCAGAGAACTAAAGAGAAAGAGAGATGAAACCTCTCAAGTTATAATTTAAATAATATGCAGGTGTGATCCAATTTGAAAGAGGAAATTTGAAAGCTTCACTTCTTTATCAAGGTCTAAAAATAAGCTGTCAACTTTTCTCTTTCCACTCTCCAGTATCTTTAGCAAGGGCTTCAGCTCCTTAAGGTTTCCTTTTGGAACACTTGTTAGGTTCAAGTCATTAACCTTGGCAGGTGGGACTCTATGTTGTCGGCTGCTAGAATCAGCACCATTTAGGGGGTACGGATCCTTTGCTCCCTCATTAGTTAGGAATTCTAGTTCTCTCATGACGTGATAGGCTGAACTTTCTTCCAAGGCACTTGAAAAAGAGTTATAAATTAATTGTGTGATTGAGGAAGTCTTGGAAAGACCATGCCTACCCCCTTGTTCCTGCTGGTTGGCTGTAACCATAGCAACCTCTTACACCAGACCAAAGTTCAGCTACTGTAAATCTTTATGACCGTGTTCATAGTCCAATGTTCATTAGTATGACCCTTCCTCATCGAGAAAGAGGTTTTATATTTTACAAGCAAGTGTTAGACTCCATTTCTAAATACTGGACTCCAGTTGAGAAGGTCCAGAAATATTATAAAAAGATCTTTGTTTTTTTTACCCTAGGATCCTTATTTTTCTGAGAAGATGCCTACGGCAACGAAAAGACTGATGTTCTTAACCAGCTTTGTCACAAGCTTGGGGGCTTTAATCGTAATTTGTTCTATTCTTACAACTCAAGAATGGATCCGCAGCACAGTTGTCATTAGAGACACTTCTTCTAATGGTAGTGTGATTATCACCTACGGACTCTTTCGTGGGAAGAGTATTCAAGAATTGAATCACGGACTTGCAGAATCAGACAAAAATTTTGAAGGTAAATCATAACTCATTTGAATGGATACAGTGAGATTGAATTAACTGGGTAAGATTCATACCATCCTGTATTTCTGCCAAATAGCCCTTCAAAAATAATTTCCTTGTGAACTTAGCTGGGCTGTAGATATGAACGCATATTTTTAATTTTGAAAATTCACTGAATCATTATTTCAGCTTCCTCGGTTCTGGTTGTGTCTATTAGCAAAACAGTCTAAATCATTCTAGCAGAGGCTATGCTTAAACAGTACTACAGAGTGTATTGATAGGCAAATAGTTAAGTACAAATATGGAGCACCAGTATGGTATTCTACAGCCAGTAGCGACAGCATTTTTAACTGTATTGACTGGATTTTTAGTTGGAGCAAGAACCTCTGTCCAGAACTTAATTACTGGCATCTACGCAAGGGAAAAATAAAGTGGAAAATATGGACAATTTCTTATCCTTATATCTCAAGTTCATTTCTTTCACTGATTTGAATTTGCAGTCTTACCTCCAAAATATCTCATTGCTGTTGGAATTGATATTAAATTTCCATTAAGTCTATTAATCGAATATTTTACAGGAATTCCTAAATTTTTTTTCTGATTTCATACACACTAATGTCCTACTCTCAATGGGTGGAAAACAAAAATTCCTTGAGAATGATAAGCTGAATTTAGCTATTTGTTTGGCATTTGAAGTTTGAATATATACCATTATGGTTTCTAAATTTAAAACCAAATTTGTAACTTGTTTACCACCTTAAATGGACTTTGTTTCGAAGGGTGCTGCACGCAGCTCACTACACAGGATTTATCAGGTATTATGCAGTCATTACCTCTTTCCTTATAAACGTACATCATTTTCTGCCTTATACAAATGTAATGTTTAGCCCTCATTCCGTGCATAATGGTGGGACGTTAGCTTTTGACATTAGCTCCAAGTTCTAGCTCTAATTTGTGACTTTATTAATGAAATGATTTCCTTAAATCCAGAGCAACATACTTATATTTCCAAATTACAAATTTGCCTTTTAGACTTTAGCAAAAGCAACGTCTCCCCCAGCATTTTAGCAGCGTTACACATCTCCTCCCGTACCAGCCTCAGGTCCTCAGGAAAATGAGGAATATTCTCTTTGCGGCGACTAGAAAAGTAGACTTTCAAAGATTCGCTACCGTTTTCAGTTCTGTGAACAGCATTTGCGAAACCAAAACTTGTTATACTTCCTGAATTTCCAGACACTTGTAAAATTTTTAAAATACGAGAAAACAGCCTGTGAATTTTTTGATTTTCATACAGTGTCTGTTTGGAACCAGTTGGCTCCAATTTGAGATAACTGGCTTCCGTGAGATCCCTGACTCCCTACATCCAGAGAAGCGCCGAGGAGGCCCGGGTGGGTCAGCGCCTGGTTCTAGAACCCCCTGGGAGTGACGTGAGCACGGTGGCTTTGGGAGGGCAGGGACAGCTGTGGTCAGGGATAGCTCTGAAGGCGGCAGGCAGCCCAGTGGGCCCACAGAGGAGGTGGGATATTTGCATTTGCTTTGCCTGGCTCTCTATTTTTACTCTTTTCTTTCTTTCTTTCTTTCTTTTTTCCTACTTTTCCTCTTTTCCCCAGAGAACCACATTCCAACTTCAAGTCACTGCCTCCAGTCACCCCAGGGGCTGTAGAACATAAACGACCCCCCAGGCACTGAAATGCTGCACAACTGCCGGGCATTAAAATCTGCTAGGGACACCTCAGAGCCCAGGGGGTCTTCAGTGTTGATGGTTTTAGCAGTCGTTGAACTGGGAACACTTGCAAACAGTCCTCTCGGAGAGGGAAAAGTCACGTAACCCAAATGTAGATGGTGGTTCAGCTGGTGCAGGTGTGTGGACATGGTCCCCCGGGAGCAAATCTGCAAACACGCAGTGAGACAGGTTCTTTAGGACCACACAGGCTTATTTCCAATCAGAAACCAACCATTGGCAGTACAATAAAATCATCGTATAAATGCCACTTTCCTGCCCTGCTGTGGTGGATTGCCTTTTCCTATGAGAAGTTAACCATGTCAGTTTCTTAGCTAGGATGAGTTCACACTGAAATCTCCAAAGAGTAATGAATATTGCAAAGCTCTGCTATATGTCTACATAGGCTTTATCACATGGTGCCGATTTGGGGCTGTAGATTTTGAAATGAAGTGATGATGGCTGAGTTCAACTTGCCAAAATAATTCAGCCTACAATATGCCAATTGCTGAGGAAAAGAATCAGTCCAACCTGGGGAGGAAACTCTCCGTGGTGTAGCTAGATTGTTCGGGCAGCTCAGGCTCACCAGAAGCTCTACTAGCCTCATCCAGAGGCATCCCAGCTGGTCCAACACCCAGATGAAAAGTGCCAGGTGTCCACCCATGAGCACATTGCCTTGCTACTCCAAAGATTCTGGATATTTAATTTTGGTTCAAAGAAACCTTCCTGAGCAGCCACCATGTGAGTGAGGGGCCTGGATCCCAAGCGGAACTGCACAGAGCTGGGTGGACTCACCACCTAGTCTTTCTAGAGAAAGACCCCGACCCCATCAGTTAAATCCATCAGCCCGCACTACTTGTAGGACAAAGGCGTGTGCAGGTCACTACAAGAACAAGGGGCAGTTTCACCCCAAATGTGCCTCCCCCTGCCCACCAGTCTCTTTTCACTACCTACCCCTTTTGTTCCGGGGGAACTCAAAGTTGTACTATTGGCTCAAGCTAAAAATAATGAGGAAAGTGAGTCTGCTGCAAAAATCAATGAACTGCAAGAATGACTGAACTGAAGAAATGAGGTTTATATCTCCAGAATTTACAAAAAGCCCCTTCTTACTTCTCCTATCTGTCCACCCCACCCCATACACATCCCATACTTTCCCTCGGGGTGGGAGCGACATATCATTTACCCCCAGAGACATGACCACACTGAGCGGTGTACCATAAAGGGGCAGAAAAAGCTTTCCCCCATCCTTCTTTCTGAGACACCCCTCGTCAATTTCCTAGAGGCTGAAGCCATCAGCTGGGATGTCCTGGGAGAGCTCCTAGGCCACACTCTGGGATCCATGGAGTTAATGAGCCCTTCCAGGGATACACTGTGGTCCAAGGACTGAGAAGCTCCACTGGGTCAGGCCCCCTAGTGACCAGGTGCCTGAGGAGGGGGTGGAGACCATTCCTCCACACAAAAAAGCCACCAGCTCTCCCTCAATTTCCGAGGACTTCCGGAAAACCAGAGCTAGAAGGGCCAGATGGCCAGTGGGGCTTGAGTATAAATGTCCAGGCACAGGAAGCCCGGATGTCCGGATGACCCCCATTTGTGCACTGCCCACCACCCAATACATTTCAGCCTCCCAGCTGCGGGAGCCGTGGCCTCTTTCCCGGGGGCTGCCAGAATCCGAGAGATTAGTTTCAATTGTGAGGTGGCTTTCTCGATTCCGACGCTTGACCCCTCAAAGGATGGAAAAAGAACAGAATGTATTTGCTAATTTTGTAGGCAGAGAACAGCTGTCAGATGCTGTGGAGGTTGATTGTGATTTCATTCTTGCCAACTTTCACCGAATTTCCAGCTTTCATTGTCTGAGTTCTGAGCCAGGAAGGGGAGGGGAGATACAGCTGTCATACCTGTGTGGCAGGGAATTCAGAAGGCCGAAATAGAATTTGGAAATATGGCAGTTAAAATTAAGATAAATTGTCACATTAATTCATAGAAAAGTGTGAGTCAGTAGGCTCCAAACGGACTCCCTTTTGAGAACTGATGTCTAATAGATCTTTACCAACAGTCATAAAGAAAAGCCAAACCTGACGGTCACTTTCTAATTTACTCTGAAAAGGTGGGATGTTCACCATTTGCAAATGAACATCCATTTACAGCTTTTAATAAGAAAGCTCCCCCAGGGCAACTTGGTGCCTTGGACACAGGACATTTTTCCCATGCTGAAATTTTTATTTTCTAGTTAAGTATCTAAATTTTGTCTTATTGGCTAAGGACAGAGGTCACTTGGTTCCCAGCAAACCTCCGATTCGATGCTGGAGTTCCCTCCTTCATGCTCAGGCAGAGGCTGTGGGATTGTGGAAAAAAGGGGAGTGGTTCTTGCCGGTGGTGACTAAGTTTGGAAACATCTGCAGCATTTGACCCTGCATCTCTGAACAGGTGTGTCTTGCTTCTTGTTTTTCCTATTCTGGCGTCATCTTCCATGAGCTGCAAAATAGGTGTGTGCATCACAGCCATGCCAAGCCCTCACCGCTGCATCTCCGGGGTGAGCCAGGCAAAGGAACTAGAGCCTCGGGCTTGAGGGCAGGGCCTTTGGAACTGTCCCAGCCCACACGGCTTCCTGGAGGGCAGGGGGCTCATCGGGCCCCACCCATCCCCATGCAGGCAACAGCAGGTAGCAGAGAGGACAGCATGCTCAGTTTAACCAATGCCTTTCAGAGTTCTTACCTGGAGTGCATAACAAAGGGGACTGTGCTGAGAACTTAGCCTTTCCCGTGGGTTAATAACAGAAACAGGGACAAGGGCTGGGCACTGCTAGGGATGAGCAGACTGGACGTGCGTGCACTGAACTTTGCACCCAGTCCCGTCTCACTGAGTGGTGAACTCATGGCCTCCGTGCTGCTGAACTGGTTTTCCCCTCTTCTGTCCTCTCTGGTCTCCCATGGGGTTTGAAGGGCTGTAGCTGTGCTCACGGGAGACCATACCCACATTTCTTTTCTCCCGCCCCTTGTCTTTCCTGACTCCTTTCTTGTCCGCTGGCCACACCCTCCTGCCTGCCTCTATCCCCGCTCTGTCTGGAGACACTTCCAGCCCTGGGCTTGGCCACGTGACGTGGCCATCAGGATGAATTCTCTCACACACGAGGGTCTTTACAACCAGATCCCCAACATCCAGATGTCTGAAGGCAGATTTGCTGGCCAAATCTCTTTCATGCCCACCCTCTGTCCGATGACAGGAAATTTACCTCCCTCGCAAAGTACCGCTGATTTAAAAAGAAAAACATCTGAACTAATAACATGTGGGTATTCAGAGGTGGAGAGAGGATGGACCCCGCACAAGTATCGTCACATCTTATCGGGAGTGTTGAGCCCGTCTGGCCAGCACGGGTAGGGAGGTAAAGTCAGACTAAATGTGTGCAGAGTTGGGGCCAGGCTGGCAGGAGCTTTGGAATCCCGTCTTACGAAGAACACGTTGGGGTTTATATCCCTTTTCAAATACTGGGAAAGGCTCCAGGCAGGAGAGGAGGGAGTGGATTCTGCGTCGCTCCAAAAGGAGCATCAGGATCCAAGGGTAAATGTTGTAGAGACGCAGAATGTAAAACCTTTAAATGACTTAGGAGACGCAGTGATGGAAAAGGCCACTTGCAAAGAGAGGGCTGGCTCCTTGCTGCCAGGACACGTTTCAGGAGGAGGCTCCAGATCTCCTCTGGCTCCCAGGGCCCCATTCCTGAAAATGTGCCATCCACAGCGGAGCAAGAAGGCTTCCGTGGCCGTTCTGGTTTCTGTTCTTTAAAGCTGCTCTGGGGTGAAGATGTGAGAGGCTCCTGCCCTCTCCCAGGGCACCTGAAAATCAGGAATGGAAAGAAGGAAGCTTTTACTTTTCCTTTCCCACCCCCATCATGGTTCTAACACCTTGTAATTCCCAATGATGGTGTTAGTACATTACTAAAGACTCTGAAATCTTTTTCCCAATTTACTTTTTTCCTTCTGTCGCTGTGACTTTCACAGAAACTCTTGGTAAACACTTTATTGAATGTGGTGGCAATCTCCTAAGGGCCTGAAACACACTGGCTGCTCTTGGAGATGTTTATAAACGCATGGCTGGGTTTCCAGGTAAGTGTGGGGAGAGCGTGTCTCTGGTGTCTGCTCATTTTGTAAACAAAGGAGGGAGCGGAGGAAACAGATGCCTGGGGAGCCTGGCGGGTGGTGGTTAGAAAGAGGAGAATATGGCAAAAGCAGGAACTGATGGCAAACGGCCCAGGGCACCTGTGTTTCATTTTACGCAAGTGCATATCCACGTCTGGAGCTCCCCTGCACTTAAGAAATATGCAAATTTTATGAGAAGGCTGACAGTTTCTAACCCCAGTGCCTAGGAGGGTAGAATGGGGAAGGAGGTAGAATGGGGTGCGCGAGGGTGGACCCGCCCTCCGGGCCAGAGTTGGTCTTTGCATTTGGTGCCGCGTACTTACCAAACATTGCTTTAGTTTTAGGGACACTGAACAATTCTTCCCCAAAGACTCTGCACTTGGTGGTCATCCTGTTCCTGGTCCTTAGTTTGTTCACTTCGCTGTTGAGCTCTGTGTTCACCTTCCACAACAGCATCAGCAACCCCTATCAGACGTTCTTGGGACCGATGGGGGTGTACACCTGGAACGGACTCAGCGGTGAGTATCGGCGGGAGGACGTGCTCTCTGCCTCTGTCCCCCTGCTTCCCTCTCACACACGTGGACACACACGGTCACGGTCGAGCCATGGGCTTTAAGAGGGCCCCCTGTGTGCTGAATTGCGTGCTGGGGGCTGAGGTTTATTTTTGTAAACTTACAGCATTTATTCAGTCTCTTTGGAAATAAAATTCTGTTTTAGGTTCCCAGGTAAGAGACCAGAGTGAGGTGAGGAAGGCGTGTTAGGTGTTAAAATATAGGACATACCGAGGCTTTGCTTTGGAGGATCTGGTGTAAGGAGTTGAACAAAAAACACATGCATCCACAAAACACTCACTGGGCTCCTGCGGTGTGCTTGACTCCAAATTAGACTCCACGTGATGTGTGGAAGTCAACACGTGAACACACATGCACACACATGCATGTGTGGAATTTAGTCTTCTTGCCCTCGTAGAACAGCAGTCAACTTGACAAAATCTAAACCTGATCGTGGCACAAAGAGCCACCAAGAGTGTCATTTTGGAGAATCTGGGGCCAATGCCCTTCTTGTGGGCAACCTGGGAGTCCCAGATGTTGCTGGGCGGTGTTGCTAGGTTGTGTTACTTGTTTGCTGGGAAAGGTATTGGGGTGGGGGGTGGGAAGTGGAGCCCAGCTTGAGTCACAGTGTTTTGGACTTTCTCTGGGTCTCATGGACTCTGTGGCCATTGTGTCTGCCCAGGGACGTGGTCACATGGGAGCCTCGTTGCCCCTGCTGGGCAGCCGGGTTTCTCCTGCTCTTTCC